GGCCCTATGCCCGAAGCTGCTGGCCGCCGAATGGTGCGGGGGAGGGGAGATGGTGCCGTCAGATGAGTTGCGGAGGGGATGGTAGCAGGCAGTGCTGAGGTCCCCACCGCTGCGACCCGTCATGTAGGTATAACCGCTCCTCCCGGCCGCTGCAGCTACAGAACGGCCGGGAGGAGAGAGAGAGCTGACAGGAGGGATCGCAGCTGCGGACACGGTCTACATCTCTGTCGGATGCAGACCGTGTTGCTGAATCTGCGCCGACACTCGGATCCTTGCGGCCAGTGCTCTTTCAGTGAACGCTAGCCGAAAGGATTGTGAAAAAAAGATTGGTAAGGTCTGGGTGGGGGAGGGGGATGGGGGGTAGAAGCATATTAGGCTACATTCATACCTCTATTTTAGGTGCAATTAGGTTTTTCTTGCGTTTTCCTGCGTCAGAAATCCCTAAATTGGCGTTTACAAATGGCAGCTGTCATCTAAGTTAATGATCAGACGAGACCGAAGAGGCGGAGGGGCAGAGATACTGATGGAGGAGGCGGGAGGCGTCGCCGAAGCTCCAGTCGGGCGCTAAGGATAAGGAGGCCGTCTAGTCGGGTGCCGAGGGCAAGGAGGCCGTGTCGGGCACCAAGGATGAGGAGGTGGTGTTCCAAAGATGTCAGGCCGTGCAAGGTAAGAGGACTGTGCTGTCAGAGCCCAACATAGATTCTGCACAGCCCACCAAAGAGTCTCAGGGGTGCTGTGCAATACCCTTTGGTGGGCTCTGCAGGATCCGAGGGGGCTCCGCAGTCTGCAAAGCCCACCACAGATCCTGCAGTGCCCCCCTGAGATCCTGCAGGGGGGCTTTGCCAGGTCTCGGGGGCTTCGCAGGATCCATAGGGGGCTCTGCAGCCTGCAAAGCCCACGACAGATCCTGCACAACAGGGTCTCAGGGGGGCTGTTCAGGATCTGTAAAAATCATCAACCGGGTCTCAGGCGGGATTTGCAGGATCTGTGTCGGGGTCTATGGTGGGCTCTGCAGGGTCTCAGGTGGGCTTAGCAGCCTGAGACCCCGCAGAGCCCACCACAGACCCTGCAGAGCCCACCTGGGACCACAGAAACATTTTTACTCACTTCAGAAATTTCTGATATGAGAAAGCTGGTCGGATGACGAGTGAAGCGTCTTCAGGTAAAATACAGCGAGTCCAGTTGCCTCGATTTATTTTTTACAGATATTCTCTGTAGCAAGCTTCCTACATTGTTGCAAGGTTTGTGTATTGGTTGTAGCAGGGCTTGTGTGTCAGCTGTAGCCCTCCGGTATTCACTAGTGGCCGGGCCCTGCCCCTCGATTGCGCTTCTGTTTTTGGCTCCGCCCCCTGTTGTGAGGGGTGGGGCCTGTCGGTGGTCACGTGATTGGGCTGCTCAGTCTAAAATGCCCGGGCCTATTTTTAGTCCCAGTCCGGCCCTGTTCATCGCTGACGAGTTCTGAGAAACCGGAAACCACAAGTCACTAATATATCATCAGAAGTCGTTTTCAGTTTTATGTGAACGGAAGACGGGGGAAAACAAAATGAAGAAATGACTCTCTGGAATCCCTAATCGCACCTAAACCTACAGATATGAAAGGGGCCTTATTGTGAGTGTATATTGGTGTCTGTAGTACCAAACCGGATACAGTTATATTTTCTTTTAAAGTATGAAATTTGGCAAGCGGCCCCCAAGAGAGAAAAAAATTTGTCGAGTGGCCCCTAAGACGGAAGAGGCGGGGGGCAAAGACGGAGCTCCAGTCGGGCGGCGAAGATGACAAGGAGGCCAGGCAGCCCCAAGCCTAAATACACCACTGGATGTCCGGTTCCTGAACGGATCGTTCTTTTGAATGGATTATTTTCAGTGACCTGGAGGAGTCCATTCATCTGAGTGAAATGGTTCATAGGAAGCAAACAGCTCAGTGTGGAATGTATAGGAGAGCGGCTCAGTGAGGGCTCAGCTTCTGCCAGCCCCTCCCTGCAACCAATCAAAGAGAGCTCAGCTCCTGCCAGCCCCTCCCTCCAACCATAGAAAGAGTGAACAGGAAGTGATGTAAAGCACAAGAACAATTGGTAGCAGGAGATGTTAAAAAAAGTCTTGCAGTGTGTAGAGGTCAGTAGTCAGTGAAGCGCAGAGTGCAGCGGTCAGAAAGAAGTAACGAGCAGAAGTCAATAGCCAGTGATCCACAGAGGTCAGTAGCCGATGACCCACAAAGTGCGGAGGTCAGTAGTCGTGATGTGCAGAGGTCAGTAGTCAGTGACGCGCAGAGGTCAGTAGTCGGTGACCGTCAGAGTGCAGAAGTCAGTAGTCGTGACGCGCAGAGTGGAGCGGTCAGTAGTCAGCGACACACAGAGTGGAGCGGTCAGTAGTCAGCGACGTGCAGTAGTCAGCGACGTGCAGAAGTCAGTAGTCAGCGACGTGCAGAGTGCAGTAGTCAGCGACGTGCAGTAGTCAGCGACGTGCAGCGGTCAGTGGCGTGCAGAGATCAGTAGTCAGCGACACACAGAGTGGAGCAGTCAGTAGTCAGTGACGTGCAGAGGTCAATAGTCAGCGACGCGCAGAGTGTAACGGTCAGTAGTCAGCGACGTGCAGAGAGCAGCGGTCAGTAGTCAGCGACGCGCAGAGTGCAGCGGTCAGTAGTCATGCTGCGCAGAGTGCTGCGCTCAGTGGCCACGAAGCGCAGAATGCAGTGGTGCAATCCTGACATCAAAGACACCGATGATTTGTTATGTAAGCTTAGGATGTGTACAACCTTTTTGATGTTGATTGGTAATTGGCCATCATGGACCTTCCTTCACTCTACACCTGCATACCTAACTCTGCAGCACTTGTTGCCGTTGACCATTTTCTCTTGTGTAAAGAAACGTCGGACATTCCTATGGCTTTCATCCTGAGTTGTCTTGAATTTGTACTTGATAATAACTAGGGATGCAGCTATATATATACATATCTGCCGCCGAAACATATCGGGCGAAAATGGCACTTTTGGCATAATGCCGAAAGTGCCATTTTCCTGCCGATACATCGGCGCATCCCTGGTTTCTTTCCTCCCCCTGGGCGCTGCTCTGTGTCCCAGCGGGGAGGAGAGAAAGTGACAGCCGGCCGAGCGCTGCTGGAGGAGAACACTGTGAGCGGCCGGCGTCTCTCCTCCCACACCGCTCAGCCTCCTATTACAATCAGAGAGCGGTGTGGGGGCGGAGACAGCCAGCGGTGTCACAGGAGGCGGAGCTCTCCTCATTGCTCCGCTCGCTCAGCCTCCTGTGACAGCGAGTCAGAGAGGAGAGCGGGTACAAGGAGTCGGTGATCAGTGATCGCTGAGTGTTTGTAGATAATTGAGGACAGAGTATGGTTACTATATCCTAAATTATGAATGAATGGGAAGTGATTCACATCACATCTACCTCACTTCCTGTCCATTCATAGTTGTGGTTATTGTAAACACACAATGTTCTCATGTTATGAATGATCAGGAACACTCAGTATAGAGGATTCCTGCTCATTGATAACAGGGTCTGCAGAAAAAAAGATTGAGGACTCTGTGTGTCTCTGAGGGCTCTGTGTGTCTCTGAGGGAAAAACAATTTGAAAAAATAAAAATAAAAAACATTTTTGGTTTCGGCCTGACTTCTTTTTTTATTTCGGTTTCGTTTCGGATTTGAAATCTCCATTTTGGTGAACCTTTTTAGAACCTGTTTACATTTCAGGACAAGATGTACAAACAAATTTGAGTGACGGCTGTGGGCAGCTCGGCCACTCCTTCCTTTCCAAACCTCTTTTTTTTGGCTGTCTGGAGGAACGTCTTGTATACAAATCACCCCTTTAAATGAAGCATGTGTGAAGGTGTCTATGAGATACATAGATGACATTTTCATTATAAGGGACAGCAGTGCTCATGCCTTCAAACAATTTGTCTCAGAATTGAACAGCATGTTTTCTGGGGATGGTAATTTTAATCCCATTCTGTCAGAACGAGTGATTGCCTCTCTGAATGTGCTTGTATCTGTACACGATCAGAAAATATCCATATCCGTACACACCACACCCACAGATAGAAACACACTTCTACACTATCAAAGTGCACATCCACAGCATTTACTCAATAACCTCCCTATTTTTGTGCACCGCCCCTGGTTAGTCTATGACATTATCATCACTTTTCATGTTGCTCCATATGAATAAGTATGTATATTGTATACCTGTATATATGAAGGTTAATTACATTAATATTGCATTATTGGTTTTGCCACTTTGATTTTACCAGCGGGCCTGCTGAACGATGTTGGCAGCTTTCTTTCATCTTCTTTTTTTCTCTATCTTCCTTCTTTTAAAGTCTATCCACCTTATAACACCCCCCCTCCCTCCTTCTTTTCTTTTGTCTTTATTCCATCTTTCCCCCTTCTTTGCCCATGCCTTTATTCCCTCTTCCTCCTTTTTTCTGCCTTGTGCCATCCTCATTTGTATACTGAGCATGCCCAACTGCACTCCTAGGCCACTCTCAGGGGGCGTAACTAGAAATCACAGGGCCCCATAGCAAAATTTTGTATGGGGCCCCCGTGATTGCTAGTTATGCCACTTGCAGAGCTCCAGCGGAGAGTGACCCTGCAGAGCCCACCATAGACTCTCTATAGTGGGCTCTGCTGGGTCTGATATCTCTTACCTGTCAGCGCCTCTGTGGTCGCCGGGCCCCACCTCCTGTTCCGTCCCCGCCTCCTCTGCTATTGACGGGCTCCGCCTTCTCTTACATCACTGGCCCCACCTGCTCTTAGGTCGCTGGCCAGTGATGTAAGAGGAGGCGGGCCCCGCCTCCTCCATTCTGAACACCGCCCTCATCTGCCGCAGCGGCTGGCTGTCTCTGACACAGCTCCGCAGCGGCTATGAGGGGAAATGCGCCGTGGCCGCTGAGGAGCTGTGTCTGTGACAGCCAGCACCCCCACATGCCACGCTATGGCGATTGTTACGCCACTGGCCACTCTGTATAATAGCGTTCCTGGTTGCCATGATGCCCTAAACCCACACTGAGCATGCGCGGGTGGTCTGGAGCACAAAGCATCCCCGATTGGTGCAATCCTGGAGCACAAAGCGTCCCTGATTGGTGGAATCCTGGAGCACAGAGCGTCCCTGATTGGTGGAATTCTGGAGCACAGAGCGTCCCTGATTGGTGGAATCCTGGAGCACAGAGGGTCGATTATTGGTGGAATCCTGGAGCACAGAGTGTCGAAGATTGGTGGAATCCTGGAGCACAGAGCGTCCCTCATTGGTGGAATCCTGGAGCACAGAGCGTCCCTCATTGGTGGAAACCTGGAGCACAGAGCGTCCCTCATTGGTGGAATCCTGGAGCACAGAGCGTCCCGGTTCACATCTTCAGTTGTCAGATTACGATTGGATCGCCGGCACTCATACCGGTTGTTCTCCAGTGCTTCCCTCTGCAGTTCGGTTACATCCTCACAGCATGACCTATGCAGTCATAAGGGTAACAATAGCATATTTATTCTTTCCTATATTATGGATACATTGTATTTGTTATTGCTGTTCAAATTCTGACACTTGGCGGGAATATGACGTCAGCGGGGGCTGGGGGACAGGGTTTCTGACGACTGATTTACACTGGTTTGTTCACATACTGTATGTTGCTTTGGTATATAAGGATTTCAATTCTAATATGCTACTGTCATATTGAGCCTGATGAAGGGGACCCTGTGTGGCCTTGAAACGTTGTAAATGTGACAACATGCATCAATAAAAAGAAGACGCGTCCGGTAAGAAGAGTCCGGTAAGGAGTGTGGCAGGACTCGTATACATATTAACCTCTTGCCGTCCGCCCGTAGTAAAAAAACGGACGGACGGCACGGCAGCATCTGCGGGTTGCCGTCGCCAGACGGCATTTTTTTTCTGCAAGATCAGACACTCCAATATTTTCGTTGGACCGCCTTTAGCTTTGATTAAGGGACACATACACCGTGGCATCATTTTGATAATCACAACATTTATTTCCATTCAGAGTTGCATTCATTTCTCACCAAGGTCTTGCAGTGACGATGGGAGAGTTGGACCACTTCATAAAGTCTTCTCCAGCACATCCCAAAGATTCTCAATGGAGATAAAGCGGACATGTACACTCAAAAATCTAATTCTACCAATGCATCCCTCTATGTACGATGATTAGTAATAACACAGACGTGACAGGTGTAAAATGCTGTGATTGTGAAATACTTACACTGGCAGAGCGTTCACTTCCTGCTTTGAAAGTTCAAAGGACTTCAGTTTGCCAAAGCGATGCACACTGGGATTGTCTCGTCATCAGCCGAGCATTGCTGGGAAATCTCATCTGCAATCTCGCGGGATCTCAGGGAAAGGCATTTTCCTCCCCTGAGATGATGTGCATGGTCACATGTCCTGGTCACATGTGCCAGAAATCCAGGAAGTAAAAGGAGATCTAGTAATCTTCCCTTACTAAACATGGCCACTGTCAGAAGAATGGGAAAGAAAAGAGAAATAGGGTATGCAAAGAATACAAAGCCGGCAATTATCTAGAAGTATCTGTGTGTAGCGAGTGATTTCCACTCCCTGGTTGCCACATTTTCTTCAAGCGAAACCCGAACACTCAGGCGACGCGCAGACATTTTTTGGGGAAAATAAGTCGTAGCTTATTCATATGTAAATAGCGCCACCCATTCATATGTAAATATCACAGTTGAGACTGTTTTCAGTGGGGGGCCAGCAGCCCCTATCATAATTTTGGTTGCCCCTGTCTGCTTGACATCTTGTGTCCGGGTTTCTGCTGCCATGAAACCCGAACACAGCATTCAAAACCTGGACTGTCCGGGTGAATCCTGGACAGGTGGCAACCCTATTCCACTCACCTCATAGTTCTAGCCGACCTGCGACAATGAGACTGTCACAGGTCGGCTCAGTAGATCGGGAGGTGAGCGAACACATAGCGGCGTTCGCTCACCTCTCGATCCTGTCATGGCTCTCTGCCGTGCCAGGGGAGGGGCTGGATTCCCCCCGCTCCGATCCTCCAGCGCTGACTGACGGAACGGACGGGGGAGGGGGCGGGTACAGCTGGCTCTGCCTCTAGATAGGCAGAGCCAGCTGTCACTCACGCAGCTGGGCGGATCTCGACATCGATGTCGGGATCCGCTCCGGTTGCGGCGCCTCAGTATATAGGGAGCTGTAACTCGCGGTATACTGAGCCTAGGGTGACGGGAGGACGCTAGGTTGTGTCCTCCCGTTACCCTAAGGAGAACTATGGGGAAAAGCCCTGACCCCATAGTTCTCCTTTAAAAGAAACGAGTGGATGCGTCCTTTATGCGCTCACCATTTGTGCTAACTTCGCCAAACGTCACAGTGTGTTTGTTGTTATTTTAACGATCTGGGTAAAGGTCCGCTTTAAGGCCTGGACTCTGTGGTGGCCAATCCATGTGTGACATTGATGTCTCATGCCCCCTGAACCACTCAGGTTGGACTTGATGGACATATGTCTTTATTCAACCCCAAATACTATGTAACTATGTACCGTATTTGTCGCTCCATAAGACGCACTTTTTTCCCCCCAAAAGGAGGGGGAAAATGTGCCTGCGTCTTATGGAGCGAATCCCGACGCCCGAGACATGCAGTTTCGGGCGCCGGGCGAGTAGTAGGAGCCACTGCTCGTTTAATACGAGTGATCTGACGAGATCACTCGTATTAAAGCCGAGCAGCGGCGACCGAGATCACCATAGAGCAGACGAAGAACGGACTTGCTTCGTCTGCTCTGTGTGATCACTGAGACCGTGGCGCTGCAATCACAGCGCCACCTGTCTCAGCGGTCACTAACTGCAGCTTCTGTCATAGAAGCTGTGACAGAAGCTAGTCTGTCGAGTGCTCCATAAGGCGCGCCGGACCTCCCTGCGTCCTATGGTCCGGTGCGTCTTATGGACCGCAAAATACGGTAACTCTTTTACAATCTTGGAATATGTCCAATGTGCCATCAGGGAAGAGAAAGTCAATTCATGGCAAAACCTGATCATTCAGTATATTCAGGTCGGCAGCTGACCTAATTTTTTGGGCACATAACGTTGCTGAACCTAGACCTGACCAATTGCACTAACCCCGGATCATAACACTGCTTCCCACAGACTTGTACAAAACAAGTGGCGGCTTCCCCGCTGTACATTTAGCTCGGCTTGCCCAAAGCAGGGCTAAATGTAGAAAACAACTACCCGCCCGGCACTGCATGCCCCGGGCATCGGGAGATAGAAATTCCATACCCCCGCTGCCCCTCTTCTCCCTGCTGCCCCAAGGTCGGGCCTTGGTTGGCCTTGTGGGAAATCCGGCCCTGATTATAGGTATTAGGCCAGCGTTGTTAGCTGCAGACTGACATTGTACGCTGGAGCAAAGTCTGTGATCTACAAGGACCCCAAATACTTTTCCATCACAGTCTCACCCAGAGGAGCCCCTCTCAATTAGTATGTTTCATTCATATTTGTATCACTCCCGGGATCTCCCATCAGTGACCAGCAGCCCCCAGTTGGCCATCGCAGTGTCACTGATACAAATAACCATCCCGGAGCCTCATCTGTTCTCCTCATTTTTGGGGTTTCTTCATTTTCCATCTCTCAGCTCCGATCTTCTGTTTTCCTTTTAAACTCATTTTGCTTCTTTTCTGCATATTAATCATAACAAAACTTGTGGTTGGAATTTGTTGTCGCTATGAAAGTTCTGTCCACATTTCTGATGTGTCTCCTCTCCCAGGTCTCCTGTGTCTCCTGATCACATCCGTGTCATCCGGACCGGTGTATGTACGGAGCGGAGCGGACATCACGGGATGTGGTATGACGTGTCCTCAGGATGATGTTACTCTGGAGCTGTACAGACATTGTGGAGGGAAGGAGAAGACATTGCTGGAACGTCACTGTTATTACAACAAAACTAAATCACATGACCCCATACTTCACCTGGACACAAGGAGCGGCTGCTGGAAGCTGACACCGGCCAGGAAGGATGATTCCTGTGTGTATAAGATCTGGTGTCACTGTGGTCCGGGATATCTAATGTCCTCTACAGACATCCGTGTGCTGGGTAAGAGGCCGTATACTGCATCACACTGTTGGAAATGAGACAACATATGCTACAGGGCTGTGGAATTCCTATCGCCTGACGCCCGGGACAGGCAGTTTTGGGCGCTGGGCGAGTAGTTTTTTAGTACATTTAGCCCTGCTTCGGACAAGCCGAGCTAAATGTACAGCGGGGAGCCGCCGCTCATTTTTATACAAGTGATCAGATCACTTCTATGAAACGAGCAGCGGCGATCGTGTCCATCCGCACCCCCCGCTGTGGTTTTTGGGGTTCCCCTGCTTAGACCACGACACAACAGTCCAGCAATAGAGCCTGTAGAGCAGATAAGGAACGTCCGTTCTTACATAGTTACATAGTATTTGGGGTTGAATAAAGACATACGTCCATGAAGTCCAACCCATATAGGTCCACGCATCTTCGTCTGCTCTATGTGATCAGTGAGACCGCGGCGCTGAAATCACAGCGCCACCTGCCTCTGCTGTTAGAACATCTGTTCTTTGTTGTAGGGCAGGTTCCATAAAGAGAACCTGTCACCTCTAAATTATCACATAGGGGCTTGTAAGCCCCTATGTGAAAGGAATAAAATTAAGTGGGGAAAAAAAGTGAAAAAAATTATTACAAAATAAGAAAAAAAAGTAAAAAATAAAAGTGATAAAGTTAAAAAAAAAAAATTTAAACCAACCCCGCTGCCCCCGCCATCTGCATGTAAATAAATGCATGTGTAGGACATTGTGCGTTGAGTGCTGCCGCCATTCCATTGTGGTAGACAGGCAACAGAACACACACACACCACTTTCCCAGGTACTGGAGGGTTGTGTGATATAGAGCCTTGGTTCTCAACTGGTGGGTTGTGACCCAAAAGTGGGTTCAGTGGGTCACCGCGTGCCTTCCACATTTTAGGTGAGAGGCTCCTCTGCCTCCCCCTAGCGCAGTAATGTCAGTTCTCACTCCGAGCAGCCATTCAAAATATGCTGCCCGGCGCCATGTGTCAGCTTGAGCTGAGGTGGGTCTATGGTCGCGATGGAGCTCCATCCATACGTGCATTGCTTACAGCTCCCTCATGTGTCCTGTAGAGGTGCCGGGACTGCACTGATGTCACATTCTGGCTCCCGGCACCTCTAAAGGGCGCACATGGGGAGCTGTACAAGCAATGCACGTATGGATGGGGCTCCGTCACAGCGCAGCAGCCCACACTGGACCCCAGGCTGAGGATCCCCTCCAGTTCTCGTAAGGTAGAGAGACTGGGGTGGATCTTAAAAAAAAACAAAAAAATTTGCCTTACTACTTGGGTCACAACTTAATGACCAAATACAAATGTGGGTCCTGAGGTTACACAGGTTGAGAACCACTGGTATAGAGTATATAGCTCACAGCACAAAGTGGAGGCATATGCAGTATATAAAGTAAAGCACAGTGTAGGGAGTGGTATGAAGCATATATATATATAATGTAAATGGGTAAGCCGTATTAGTCCAGTAGAGAAGATGTATAAAAAAGACAAAAACGCAGTATTGCAGTGTGCAATGATACCTTTCTTATTGGACTAACAAAATATATAAAAGACAAGCTTTCGAGAGTTAACCTCTCTTCTTCAGGTCAGAAGCAATACTGATCAACATGACAACATTTGTAAATAATAATGATTTATTGGTCATCCTATGTTTATTTATTCTGTGTTCTAGTTATCAGGATACATTCTTTACTCCCAGGTCCAACATTTATGACACCCCAATAACCCCACTAATAAGAAAGATATCATTGCACACTGCAATACTGTGTTTACCCTCCATTGCCCTAATCTCCTCCACCCGGCGTACCCGCATAGAAATTGCCGGGGAGGAGGTGTTTCTCCAAAGGCTCGGGATGCAAGATTAAGCCGCATCCAGCAAGTGGCGCACCACCGATCGGGAGAAAGCTTTCCTGAACATTGGAATGTTGTGTAGCAGGAAGATTGAGGGGGTCCAACGGAAGGTCAGATTCCATAAACTTTTGTACAATGTCACGGACCGTAGACCAGAATTGTGCTAAAGCAGGGCAAGGCCAAAAAACATGGAGTAGAGTACCCCCATCTGTGTTACATCTCCAACAGACATCGACAACTCCACCATATATTTTGTGTAAGAGCGCCGGTGTGCGGTACCATCTCATAAGGATCTTATAATTGGTCTCCTGATATTTAGGTCTTTTATATATTTTGTTAGTCCAATAAGAAAGGTATCATTGCATACTACAATACTCCGTTTTGTTTTTATATATATATATATATAGTATATAGCACAGTGTACAGAGCGGAGTGGTATGGTGTATAGATCGTACAGCACAATGTACAGAGTTGGGCTGCAACTAACGATTATTTTCTCAATCGGATAAAAAAATGAAATAAATACCGCCCCTAATTTAAAATAAAATACACAGACGCCGAGTTACAAACATAAAGTTTAAATTGCAATAGCCAATAGCAGACTGGCTATTACACCCGCTCACTGCTTGCTGCGCCCTCCTCCCAGCGTAGAGGAGAGAGCTAGGGGATCCAACCAATTAGGATCAAACAGATACACTGCGCTAATAAATAATCATAATGCGTGAATAATAACGTTTATTTATGATTAGTAGGATGACCTCCTATTAGAAAGGGGTTTTTAGGATGGTGTTGATTATTATAGGTAGTGATGGTTTTGAAACTGGCTAAGAAGGAGTTAAATAGGATTTTGAGTGACCTCCAGTGGCCACTTTTATTACAATGGCTATGTATGTAGACTTCCTGTCCCATGAGTGACCTCTGGTGGCCATATTTATTATTACAATTAGAGGTGCACCGAAATGGAAATTTCTAAACTGAAATAAAAAATAATGTCAGACCGAAACCGAAAATGTTTTATATTTTAATTTTTTAATATTTATTTATTTTTATTAATTTTTGTATTAAATATTTGTATTTTTTACTTACTTTTAGGGGTTTAAACAGATCCCTGACATTTCCCTTTTAAAATAGAAAAAGAGATTGAGGACAGAGAGCCCTCAGAGACACAGAGCCCTCAGACACACACACAGAGTCCTCAGAGAGACGCAGAGTCCTCAGAGACACAGAGCCCTCAGACACACACACAGAGTCCTCAGAGAGACGCAGAGTCCTCAGAGACACAGAGCCCTCAGACACACACACAGAGTCCTCAGAGAGACGCAGAGTCCTCAGAGACACAGAGCCCTCAGACACACACACAGAGTCCTCAGAGAGACGCAGAGTCCTCAGAGACACAGAGCCCTCAGACACACACACAGAGTCCTCAGAGAGACGCAGAGTCCTCAGAGACACAGAGCCCTCAGACACACACACAGAGTCCTCAGAGAGACGCAGAGTCCTCAGAGACACAGAGCCCTCAGACACACACACAGAGTCCTCAGAGAGACGCAGAGTCCTCAGAGACACAGAGCCCTCAGACACACACACAGAGTCCTCAGAGAGACGCAGAGTCCTCAGAGACACAGAGCCCTCAGACACACACACAGAGTCCTCAGAGAGACGCAGAGTCCTCAGAGACACAGAGCCCTCAGACACACACACAGAGTCCTCAGAGAGACGCAGAGTCCTCAGAGACACAGAGCCCTCAGACACACACACAGAGTCCTCAGAGAGACGCAGAGTCCTCAGAGACACAGAGCCCTCAGACACACACACAGAGTCCTCAGAGAGACGCAGAGTCCTCAGAGACACAGAGCCCTCAGACACACACACAGAGTCCTCAGAGAGACGCAGAGTCCTCAGAGACACAGAGCCCTCAGACACACACACAGAGTCCTCAGAGAGACGCAGAGTCCTCAGAGACACAGAGCCCTCAGACACACACACAGAGTCCTCAGAGAGACGCAGAGTCCTCAGAGACACAGAGCCCTCAGACACACACACAGAGTCCTCAGAGAGACGCAGAGTCCTCAGAGACACAGAGCCCTCAGACACACACACAGAGTCCTCAGAGAGACGCAGAGTCCTCAGAGACACAGAGCCCTCAGACACACACACAGAGTCCTCAGAGAGACGCAGAGTCCTCAGAGACACAGAGCCCTCAGACACACACACAGAGTCCTCAGAGAGACGCAGAGTCCTCAGAGACACAGAGCCCTCAGACACACACACAGAGTCCTCAGAGAGACGCAGAGTCCTCAGAGACACAGAGCCCTCAGACACACACACAGAGTCCTCAGAGAGACGCAGAGTCCTCAGAGACACAGAGCCCTCAGACACACACACAGAGTCCTCAGAGAGACGCAGAGTCCTCAGAGACACAGAGCCCTCAGACACACACACAGAGTCCTCAGAGACACAGAGCCCTCAGAGACACACAGAGTCCTCAGACACACACAGAGCCCTCAGAGACACACAAGGCCCTCAGAGACACACAAGGCCCTCAGAGACACACAGACCCCTCAGAGACACACAGAGTCCTCAGAGACACACAAGGCCCTCAGAGACACACAGAGTCCTCAGACACACACACAGAGTCCTCAGAGAGACGCAGAGTCCTCAGAGACACAGAGTCCTGAATCTCTTTTTCTGCAGCCCCTGTTATCAATGAACAGGAATCCTCTATACTGAGTGTTCCTGATCATTCATAACATGAGGACAGAGTATGTTTACTATAACCACAATCATGAATGGACAGGAAGTGATGTAGATGTGATGTAGATCACTTCCCATTCATTCATAATTGAGGATATAGTAACCATACTCTGTCCTCAATTATCTACAAACACTCAGCGATCACTGATCACCGACTGCTTGTACCCGCTCTCCATCCTGACACCTGTCACAGGAGGCTGAGCAGGGAGGAGAGCTCAGCCTCCTGTGACAGCACGGCCTGTCTCCGCCCCCACACCGCTCTGATCTGATCTGTGACAGGAGGCTGAGCGCTGCGGGAGGAGAGACGCCGGCCGCTCACAGCACTCTCCTCCCGCAGCG